TGACCAGAATCGAACCTGGGACCCTTCAGTCTGCAGGCCGACGCTCTATCCACTGAGCCAAACCGGTTAGGGCGTTTGCCCATTTTTAAATCTACATTTTCTTATGTAGGTTTTTTGTTTGTTTGTTTGTTTGCTAATGAGTTCCTGATATATTTTGAACAGTAAATCCTTATCATGTATGGGGTTTGCATATGTTTTCTCCTGCTCCTTAGGTTGCCTCTGTTGATGGTTTTCTTTGCTGTGCAGAGTTTTTGGTTTGATGTGGTCCCACGTGTTGAGTTTTGCTTTTCTTGCCTGTACTTTTGATATCATATCCAAGAAATCATTGCCAAGATCAATGTCATGAAGCTTTCCCTCTATGTCTTGTAGGATTTTTACAGTTTCAGATCTTACTTTTCTGTCTTTAGTTCATTTTGAGTTGATGTTTGTGTGTGGTATGAGATAAGGGTCCAATTTCATTCTTTTGCATGTGGAAATCCAGTTTTCCCAACACCATTTGTTGATCACTATATTTTTCTGAATTACTATAGCTTTGTAATATACTGGAAATCAGGAAGTGTGATGGCTCTAGCTTTGCTCGTCTTCCCCAAGATTGTTTTGGCTATTAATGGTCTTTTGTGGTTCCATATGAATTTTAGGATGGGCATTTCTATTTGTGTAAAAAATGCCATTGGGATTTTGATAGTGATAGCATAGAATCTGTAGATTTCGTTGGGTAGTGTGGACATTTTAATAATATTAAGTCCATTTATTTGTATGTTCTTTCATTTCATTAATCAATGTGTTGTGATTTTCAGTGGACAGCTCTTTCACCTCCTTAGTTAAGTGTATTCCCAAGTATTTTATTCTTTTTGTTGTTATTGAAAATGGGATTGTTTTCTTCATTTCCCTTTCAGATGGTTCATCATTGGGGCATAAAAACACAATAGATTCCTGTGTGTTGACTTTGCATCCTGCAGCTCCACTGAGTTCGTCTGTTAGTTCTAACAGTTGTTTGGATGAGTCTTTATAATTTTCTACATAGAAGATCATCTCTCCTCTCCCCTCCCCTCC